GATTGTTCAGCAGTGGCGTAAAGTCATCTGGAGGAAGAATCGAACTTCCTTTTGTCCTCGTTCCATTCCTTGTCAGACAAGAAATAGCTGATGATGAAAACGGGAAATAGGCAGTACTGCCCACAGTGAATTCATTTTCCAGCAGCACAATGAACCGGAGGACAAATTGAATCTGTTGCCAGGTGATTGCGCGATAACGACGTTCTACTACTGCAACGGGGTCGCAGTCCCCTTATCCGGATTTCATTGAACGTTCATAGGCTAAACTCGAGCGTTATGTTAAAGGCCTCAGGGCTCGCATTGAACACGAAATATTTCTTCAGTCGAAAATCGCACAGTAATACATCCTCAAGAAAAGATCGGCAAGCTCGGCGAGTCCGACAAACAGCGGCAAACAGTGCATATGGAATTCAAAACTCCAACAGCACCTCTTCATGCCTATACACTTGAAAAACTTCAGATTTCTGTTGGTAATCGTTCAAGAAATTTTGGATACAATACTGTAAAGTTTAGGTTTCTTTGAACACGTAGAAGTTATTACAACCCTTTTACATAGTTTCTGTTTCTAGCTTTGAAAGCATCCAATTTGAGAAGATAAAAAAAAATAAGTCCTCAAATAAAAGACTTCGTTGCTATGAACTTACGTAACTTATGGGTGACTCCAGTAGAATTAGGCGCTGCGGTAATTGATCCGTTGAAAAAAAAAAAACTAAAAAAAGATCCAGAATTCACTCGCAAGCTATCCGTGCGTATAGGCGATTTCTCGTAATCAGAAAAAATCCTGTACATCAGTCATGAAGATTCCTGGGACGTCCATTATGAAATCTAAGAATTGAAGATTTTGACTTCTGTCTGGTTCATTTGATGGTTCGGAATTCATATGAATCAGGTTCTAGAGCAAACTGCTTTTATATAAATGGCTTGTTTGACGTTCTCATGAGAAAGGTCTGATCCAACTCATTTCGTATTATCTTGAAGTGCTGACAGCAGACTTTAACATATGACGGTAAAGGGAGCATACAAGAGTTTTCCATGCACAATAGCGCTCAAAAGTATTTGGCCAAATGCTTCTCCACTCGTACTTTTCAGTCATAACTCCTTTCCTACTGGACTAAACAAACTAAATTTCAATAT